AGTGCATATGAACATATATTTACGAAAGGTCGCCTCCGAGGGGATAAATCACCATGTCGAACATTGCATTTTTGTTCCTGCCTCTCGCGTTCTCTTCTCTGACCGCTGTCCTACCTTTCGTGTCTCCCTCCTCTCAAGTTGAAGATGTTACACGTGTGTAGATGTTGGAGGGACACTCCTTTATAGTCAAAAGGAGCATGGTTGCGACCTTGGGCATACTGGTATCATGGGGTGTACTGACCGTGGTGCATTGGCGAACAACTGCATGTGCCCACAAAATGTAACCTCAAACTGCAACGCTTTTTGCAACCGCATTATTTTTGTCAGAGTGCTGAGTGTTCTTGTTTGTGTGTATGTGGTTGGGTCAACAACATCAGAAACAACCCGTGTCTCTAGAGACTAAACTCATTGGTCAAAGGCGGTTCTATCCCCATGTTTTTTTCTGCAAAACTCCTACACGATGCATTGTGCTGGTCACAGGGTTGATGCGATCCGTACTGCGACGGGGACCTGATGACTACTTCATGTGGATGGGCTATACTTTTGTGCTTCATATTTGCGGGCGGGGACGTGGCCCAATGGCCATGAGGGTCTTGACTCACCTGAGCCATCGGTAGCAAGAATGCTCGCTGTTTGCTCCACTTCATGCTTGAGAAGAACAGAAAAAGAACATAAAAGAACTATCATGAGATGAACATAAGCACCTCCAGCTTCAGAGACATGATCTCCCTCTCTCTCTCCACTAATTACTGTCGTTGTCTTTGCCAGCAATGAGCATCTGCAAGCTGTATTGAAAAAGCTTCTGTTTCGACAAGTCCGGACAAGTCGACATGCAGATGGCATGGCATCCATGAAGGTCTCGGTGGAGCAGATCAATGGGGAAGCCATGGTGGTCGAAGTGATGCCAGAGATGAAGATCAGCGACTTCAAAGCGCTGCTAAAAGCACAGCGGGTTTGCGGAGATGAAGTCATGCGCAAGATTGCCAAAGCGGAGGTTTTGGTGGGAGGCCAAAAGACAACTGACGACAATGCGACTTTAATAGAGACAGGCATTTCTCCTACTGCTCAAGTGCAAGTTCTCTTCACAACCCATACGGTGGAGTGTTGCAGTAAACATGACTCTGGAACAAAACCTGAGGTCTTGACCGTCGTGAAAATTCCCGACTCAGCCGCAAGTATCGGAATCAAAGCCTTCGAAAACTGCCGGTCGCTGACCCTTTTGACCATCCCCAACTCGGTGACCTCCATTGGGGACTCTGCCTTTGCATTTTGCGGAGAATTGACACGTTTGACCCTTCCAGACTTCGTGACCTCCATCGGAGCCCGTGCCTTTGCGTTTTGTGTGTCCTTGACCAGCGTGAAGATTCCCAGCACTGTGACGTCCATTAAGGCTGGCACATTTGTCGGCTGCAGCGAGATTACGAACTTGACCATTCCCAACTCGGTCACTTACATTGGAGCCAATGCATTTGCAGGTTGTCGTTCATTGACAAGCTTGACGGTTCCCGAGTCTGTGACTTTCATTGGAGACTATGCATTTGCAAGCTGCAGCCGCTTGACAAGCTTGACAATTTGCAAGTCTCAAACTTCAATTGGAGACTACGCATTCTCAGGCTGCAGTTCTTTGACAAGCTTGACAATTCCTGAGTCTGTCACATCCATTGGAGTTTGCGCGTTTGCAGAATGCCGTTCCCTAAGAAGCTTGACCATTTCCAGCTCTGCAAATTCCATCGGATTCGATGCGTTCAAAAACTGTGCCTTGTTGACCAACTTCACTGGCTCACCCGATTCTGTGAGACTTTTGCAGCAAACAATCGACAGCAATAAGGCAGAGGCTTCGAAGGGGGTCTCTGTTTGACGTCCGGCTCGTGCGTTGGCCGAACAACGTCGTGCGCCCAGTGTGTGCCAACGAGTGCCTGTACAAAGAGCTTTAAGCGAGTTGCGGCCAAAAAGGATTTGTTGCCTGATCCAGGGATAGCAGAGGCCAAGAAGCCAAGAGGTCATACAGGAGTGGTGGAAACACACGATTTGGTGCTGTAATAGTGCTGCTGAGTCGTAGTTAAACGTATTTAGATCATGTTTTAAGCTGCAGATCGTTGCAAGGGTGTTGCTTTGCTATGTTAGAGGAGTTTGGTTGCCTACTGCCTAAGTGAAACATTCGTGTCCCAAGGTGGCAAATAGGGAAGGACCCAGCTTTTCCTCCTGAATGAACCATCTCTAGCCTTTCCTGACATTGGAAAGAGGCCTGGTGTGACAATAGACGGGGGACTGAAGTGTATGGAGTAGGCATTGAAGGGCGTTGAAGAATTGTTCAACTTAGAAGTGATATTATGTGATATTGTGATATTTATTTTGTAACTTTGAAGATGCATGTAAATTTGACAAGGGAAAGGTACCACTCACAAAACTTTTTATGCAAATTTGAAGTGGAAATCCCTTTGGGTCTTGTGGAGCCTTTCCACTTGTGGAGCAGGGGACCCACTTCTGTACGTCGTAGAGTTTTGATCAACCGACTGTGCAAGTAGGTCCAAGTCAACAGAGCTTAGGTTTCATGTCAACCAGTTGGAGCTGCAAAACGAAAAAGCGCTTCCCAACCTCGCCGCCTCGGCGTTTGCCCAATGATGTGTAGCAGGTGAAGGTTGTGTTCAGCTTGTTGCCGTGCAACTTCGGGCACTCTGGGACAGCCACTCGATCCAAGGCCCCATCACATCATCCCACACTGGAGCCCGGGAAGCCAGTGGACAACGGGACAGACAGTCCAGTGACGGCCCGGGGAAGACTCAGGACCCGAACCGGTGAATGTTCGCGTAGTTTTCATGTAGTATACTTACTTCTTGTCTTAGGAATTGTTTGCATTTCTGGAATTGTTTGAACAGGCTTTTCTCATCTCGGTCTAGGTCTGAACAGTTTGGTTGACGTGTTTGCCTACATTGTTGCAGAAGTGACTAAACACCGAGCTCTCCGTATCTTCTCAAAGAACATGTGGTTGGAAGTCCAAAGAGTATGTTGCCTAGTTAGGTGTTTCACGAGCTTGTCAGGGGCTGCAGGGGCTGTGGCCTGGTGGAGGATCCGATTCACCCCATGGCCTGGTCGGGTCGTTGCACCCCATGTGTTTACAATCATCTCCTGGACCAAGGGTGTTTCCGATCATCAATGGACCCAGCGAATGGGAGTCGTCTTCCGTGGAACCAATGGTCTTGGCATGAAGAACTACAAAGAAGGAGCTCTTTCTTAGAATGATAGACCAATTCCAGAGTCAGAAGTAGCAAGAGCTTTTTGAACAAGTAATTGTGTTCAGATGTGTGTCGGAACAACAATGACAGAGCCCAGGCATGCCCAGGCACATACACCTCCACGTTCTCTCCAGCTTTTTGTGGGCCATTCCTGATGATTTCGTGGCTTCGGCTCATGTTCGTCGGTCTTACGACATGTGTTTGAGGTTCGAACTATCGATGTGGGAGCACCACAGTGGGCCATGCACTCCTGCAGAGAGGTGTGAGCTGATGTGGCAGATGTGGCATGATGGCCGGTCCCCAGGTGGATCATGAGCCCCTACGACATGTCCGGGCAGTGTGACATCAGGGCATAGCCCTCATAACCATGCGTACCTACCAATTTCTCAATGTTGATCACATGTTCAGCTTTATTTGGGAAGAAATCCACTTGCCCCAGCTGGGTGAGGGAGATCAGCTGATGATCTGAGGTTTGTCTCGATGATTATATTTATATAGTCTTGCAAGTCTGATGCTCTCCGGCAACATCCCCCAATGGCGTCGGAGCTGCGGCAGACATTCACTACAGGGGTTACTGTATTATACTGTATTCATTCTGGAAAACGGTATCATGTTATTCATATCATATTCATTCTGCGTCACTATAAACGCGCCTTTCCGCTCTCCTTCCGAAAGCCCTGGCAGACATGCGCTACCAGTGATGCTTTGCACATGCCTGGGTTTCCCAGCGGTGAGTGCTGCTTCGAAAGTTGTCATCAAAGCGATATATATATATATATGCTGATAATACAGTATAGCAAAGTTTTGGGTGGGGTATGGGATGATATATACATACTGTACATATTTTACATATTACATACTAGTATCACCATGGGTACATCCTGTGGAGTTGTTGGGGAGTCCTTGATACAAGAGCTGCAGGGTGATTTCCGCCCCATAGGTTAGAAGTGATTGGAAACCAAAACTCTTCAGAATGATTTGGAAGGTCACACACATTTGATAGACTGTTCATACCACTTTGATTTCTCACGATGTGGCATTCAGTGTAGAACCCTCTCGTAGAAGTTCAAGAACCCCTGCTGTTTGTCCGTGCTCTTGGAAAAAGCATCATTGTATAATGTCACTGTAATAACCCAGGAATCACAGTTGTCCCCAATGTCCACAACACAATGTCCCGATGGCATGCTTCAAAGAGGCCGGGGTCTTCTTAAACTCAATGGATCATGTGCAGTAACTTTGGTGGCAACTTACTTTCTGGGTGATAAAGCAGGTGTTCCCTGTTTGCACAACCAGATTGGGCTTTATCGTCTAAAAGCTTGGAAATGTCCACGCCACAAAAGTCAGATCTAGTGTTTACAGCGCAAGCATCTCCAGGGCATTTTGTAACAGAGTTCTTCCCCTTGATCCCCACTCATCCAAAGGCTGAACCTTAGCAAGGCATGGCGGGTCCACACGAGAGCTTTGGTCCACACGGGAGTCAAAGCGATGGATTGCAGCAGAGAAACCGTCATGTTGGATCAGTTGGTAGAATCTTGACCTAAAGCATCCCAAGACATAGAAGGTACAGTGGCACACTTTTGTGTAAATGCATCTCTTTGGAGTGTCTCAATGGGAACATCCTCTCTTGCAGCACGTGATTCCTACTTCAAAAGCTTCGACTCAGAATGTGTGCTCCTCCCCTTGGACAAAAGAGCTTTAAAACCTTTGCGATATCGCGACCTTTGACCGAAAGATTGCTCCAAACCAAGCAGACATGACATGGCTTTAGGGTTTTCCAGATGATAAGTAGAGTAATTGGTATTCTTCGACACTGCAGAAAGTTTATACTGTATCTGTGCAAACATCTTCCCACCAGCAATTCCGGCTGCTGGACAGGCCTTCTTCACACACTTCCGGGAGGTGGATGACTCCGCGTCGAAGTTGTGAAGCAGAGAGCCGGAGATTCTGAGCGAAGACCTCCAAAGAGTCTAGAGTCGCTTGGACAATGTTTGTTAATAGTTTTTTGTTTGGGGTTCTGCTGCTTCTTGGCTCAATGGAAGGAACGGGTCCTGGGTTGGTCGGATCCAACAAAATACATATAGTCTAAATAGTGAATGTAATGATCAATAGAACATAAAATGCGGAAACCTGTATCAAGCTGCTGCTCCTGCTGCTGTTGTTGCTGCTGCTGCTACAATGAATGAGTCCTTGAATCAAGTAATCCAATCATTTTGAAATCCGAGGTTCCTTTTGACTTTCTAGATGCTTCTCTCGCAGTTATAACAAGCGTATATATACAACAATGACCTGTTCAAGCTTGTCTTAGTTCAGATTGCAGATCCAGGGACACGATCACGATCTCTTCTCTTGCTGCATGCTGACAAAGCAAACATCATCGTTTGAGCTTTGTGAATTTGTCCATCATCCAGAAATAGAATCAGAGAGCACAGCATGCAAAAGCTGTTCTTTGCATTTCCACAAGCAGTTGGTGATGGCCCTCAACCTCAAGTGGAGCACTGAATAATGTTTCAGACAGGGAGGTGACCAGATTCTCCGTTCGCGAATCCATTGGTTCCTGTCTACAGGCAGAGTAGTTCGCAACCAGAGGAATCGCAGGACATATGTTCCCAGCGACACCTGTTCGGGAGCAAGTTAGTAGCAAAAAGGCATGATATCCGGCAGCTTGATTCAACAACATATATATATATATATTAATATATATATGTGTGTGTGTGTTCGTTTGATGACAAAATGTTGTCCAGGTATGCTGACCCCGCACAAGTCAGTGCAGAGCAAAGAGGGGCAGGGGTAGTTGAGTTTTTGGAATCATGGTTCTAATGGTTTGCCTCCGATCGGCAAGTTAGGACGCCTCCTGGTACCTGTGTGGGCTCAATTGGTCTGAGGCCCACCAGGTTTCATGAAGCAAGATTACAAAGAGGTTCAGTGATCATCGTGTGAGTTACTTTTCAGTGTTCACCAGAGCAGGCCAGGCAATTGACCTCTACGGTGGTGAGATCTCTCCTGTTTGTGCCGCCGTTGCGACTATGCTTGAAGCCTTGAAAATCTGAAGAGCCTGCTTAGGACAAGCAACGTCGTTCTCATGCAGGTTTCACATCCATGACATCCATGAGGCCAATAATTTGGACTTTTGGATGAGATCATCGAAGAACACCCTACAAGCCTGGCAGCAATACCAATACCAGCATATGCCATTCACCCAAAACACAACTTGGCATCTGACACCTGGTCGTGCGAATCTGCCGGCATGGCGCCAAAAAAGAAGCCACCAAAGGCTGAGGCATGGCATGGAACGGCGGCACCATGGCTTTGGGCGGGCTCTCTCGTTTTGAACACTGTTCACAATATCCTTTTGCCGCTGGCAAATTCGCACATGGAAATGGATGAATATGATGAATTGCATCAATCTAAGCTAAATTGTTTTGTCATCAGGCTGTTGAGCCTTGGCATACAAGAGCTGTTTCTGAAAAGTGGCGGTGATCATTAGGTGTCCCTTTGCCTTGCACTGCATGATACTGCATGTGGATGTTACCAAGCAGTGGCTTACTTTCTCCAGGGTGAGCCCGATGCATTGGAAGAATTCCTGAAGAAATATGGCAAGAATCAAAAGGCCAACGGGCTTGACGTGCATTGGGCCTGTCGGCGGGAAGTGCTTGTTTTATGTCTCGTTGCTCATGTATTCAGTCACACAAATCTCGTATCTACAAGCCTTCCCC